TAACAGTGAATCCATTTCTCATGGTCAGGGTCTCAGCTGTTTCTAGAATGCTGTTCAAGAACCTCATTCTGATCATTCAACTTCTGTTTATTTTTATTTTAAACATCTGATGAATATTCCCAAGCAGCTTTGAGATCCTGTTTTGGCATCCGCATGGTACTTTAGCAACTCTAGGCTTCAACTATTGCAAGACTCTCTTCCAGCTAGTCTGTCAGCTGATTTTATTAAATTTGATCACCTGCAAAATGTTGCTACTTGCCTTATACTCTTTTCTAGTGTTTAGACCACATTACTCCTAGTTCAGTCCCTGGAAGGACCTCCAAATGTCCAAAAGGGAAGGACATCTTTTTCAACCAAAAAGTGACTAGAAAATTCTTTCTTCTTAAATGTTCCTCTAATTCTTACAGCTAGCACTTCCTAAACAGGTATCCAATTGGTGGCTCCTAGCTTTCCTCATTGGACCTTGTGTCTTGGCCCCAGATGTCTTCTGTGGAGATGGGTCCCATAGAACGTTGGAAGCAGAGTGGTGGGAATGGTGCAAACGACCTTCAAGGCACCATCCCATCTTCTCTCCCCACAGCCAGAAGGGGTTCCTGGCATCTTGGGGGATTCTCTCTGGGAAGGGCTGGCACAGGACCAGGTAAGCTGCCAGGATGGCCCTGACACTAACAGATGATCCAGTCTAGGAATCTAATTCATACAAAAATAATCTGAATTTGCTGAATTACTGAATATTCACGGCTCTAAGGAGAACTGTCCAGCAAAAATGAGGCCTTACAAGATGCAAACTCTTGCTGCAGAGAAACATATTTACTACTATTACAAAGAAGAAAAGGGCAAGGAAATTTAGGATAATTAAGTTATTAGGATTTTCTTTGCTCCAAGAGAAGTGAAAAAAAAACCAATTAACTTCACTGGTAAACTATTTCTGACTAGCCAAAACTACTTTAAATCAAGCTGTTTATTGGGAAACATTAACGCCCCAGAGCAACGGAGGAAACTGAAAGGTGTTTATTCTTCCAATAAAGTCCTAGAAAGTGCATGGAGACTTTGAGAGACGACAAACACAGAGCTTCACCAGCATTCACTTCACTCACAGTTTACTAACACAAATTTATTTATATGTAATTCTTTTCTTGGGAGAGACCAGTTAATAATTTCTAACAGTTCATTGAGTTCAGAAGCATCTCAAGCACCAGATGCTTTTTTAATTGATGCAAGGCCCGATGGTCAAATTCCAGACTCACTCCAAACACCTCACTTTACTGTTGCTAGAAATACCACAAAACCAGTTTGTCCTTCTGGAATTTCGGCCTTTGCATTTGGGAATGAAGATATACAAATGTTTTAAACCTTAAAACACAACTCTGGTTTTATTCATTTTGAACGTTGGTTTAATTCTCCATATCTTAACTATCTGCTCTGTCAAAAATGATTAGTATGTACCTTGTGGTATTCAATTGACATTTAAGCCTGTATGTTTTTATGTGGGATTGAGCAAGAAAATAATTCCAATGGTTCATTTACATAATATTATTAATGCATTATAGTCGGTATTTACTCCGATTGCAATTTTTCCAAGGCTATGATGAAAAGTGGTCTATGTGTATACTCCCCCCTACACCCCATGGCATTTATGTCTGCCTTTCGAAAGAGAGCTTTCAGACTTAGGTAGAGATTAGTCATTCTTCCTTACAACCCATTCCTGCAGAACCAATTATGCTCTAACTATTCTTTAGATTTAAAAATAGCCCTCTGTTTTGATCATTTGGGTTTCTTTTCTCCGTGACCATAAAACTTGTTTGAAAGTGAGAACTGGGGGGTTCCTACTCTGCAGTCAAAACCCTGGACTAGTGCACAAGCACAACAGGGAAACGTTACCAGTTACAGAGCCGAAGAAACAAGTGCACCATTATCAGATATTGCAATTTGCTGAAATTTGCCGTTCCCAGTGAAGAAATACTCAGCCTCTGCCAAAAGGTCAAATGGGAAAGAAGGCGCAGCTATGGCATAAAGATTTGGTCTACGCCAAGAAACCTCATCTCATCCCTTCTACAATTTTGATATTTTTGGTTTTACTTGTTAGTCTCTGCAACACCTTCCTTAGAACTAATTTTCAAGACACAAAACACCCCTCCTCCAAACAGTGGAGCTAACTGTGGTAAGAGCAGAGCACTCACGTGAAGGACTGATCCCTGAGATCAGGAGCTCCGTGGGGCAAGTACTGTCATTTCTGCTGAGTGCTTTACAATACAAATACTTTTCTCTTTTTCCCTCTGCATTATCAAATGCCTTCCACCTACCTTGTGCAATTTCTTCCTCTGTTCTTAATGATAATAGCTTACATTATATAGTACCTTTCATCCAGAAGAATCCCAAATGCTTTGCAGCCCACAGACAAGGATTATCTCGCCCACTGCCAGAACTCAGCTAGGTCTAGGCTCAATGGTGTCACATTTACACTCAATATCACACAGCAACTGAAGGGATTTTTTTTTTTTTTTTTAAAAGCTTATATTACTTGTGATGAGCACCATGGACCACCTACTTAATTCTTTTGGAAAGACCCCCAAACTGCAATAGTCTCGTGTCTATACATAGCAGAAAGAGGAGCCAACAGATGGATGGAATACTGATCACTGTGTGCCTGACATGGTAGAAATATGCATTGAGATCAGGCTAGGACTGCTTACCACCACGATGTCTTCAACACCAAGTACTGCCAAGAGCTGGTGCCTGCTGGATGTAATCAGGGCCCCCTCTCCACCAAAAGCACACCCCCCCCCAACATGCCAAGTTGCATTCTTCACCATTTTCCTTTCCTTGTCACTACTTATTGTGCTGAGTTCATGCCTGAATGCGTAGCTCTACATCTAAATACACTTATGAAACCAAAAACTGCCTTTCCTTTCAAAGGCATTCTTTAATCAAGGTGACAGGTGGGGGGAATCAGTTATGTGACCAAAAAAAGCAGTGATTTGAGAACCTTACATACGAAAAAGAATAATATAAGCAACAGCTCAGATATTTCCTTGGTGCTGGCAGAAGCCAGTACAGCTTCCAGTGGAAGAAGTAGCATTCCAGAATGGAAAAATCAAATTCAGCATAAAATTTGCTAACTATGTATGCGCATGTTGCTAAATGAGGAATTTTAAGGGGCTTATTCCCCACCCATAAGTTATTTTGCTTTGTGTTATATTGCTTGCTATTGTCTTTAATTGGCAATAGCCCTGGAGTAGATCTTGGCAAACTGTCAGATGAGCACTTGAAAGCTAAAGCAAATTCACTTGCTCTATTTCTTACATTAAAAACGTAAACAGAAATGAAGACAAAACTCTCCTCTTCCAGATACAACTTGGCTTGGTCAAAGTCTACAGGAGATACGAATGAGGTTATTGCAACTGAAATACAGCAGTTCAAGACTGAGCTGCTCAACAGTTTAAGGCTGTGGAGCCACCCCCTGTGCTCCCAACCTTCCCCAAGTGATCCAGCACGGCAATCCACAGCAATGATTTAGCTCACAGCTCACTGGGGACCAGAGAAGGGAGGAAGCAGGCACATGTAGCTGAAAAAAAATCATGATCAAAGTGCTGACTTCAGTATGAGACTAAATCCTGACTATATCGATTTTTGGCAGGTGGGCGAAAGAACCTTACACTTCTTAAGCTTTTAGAGAATTTGCACTTGGAACTATTTCTATTTGTAAAATGTGCCAAAAGATTCTGTTAACATTTTAAATTAAATTCTAAAATGAACTAATAAAGCAAAAGTAGTTTTACTGAATCTTATTTTTAAGAAACTTCTCTTCATACTACAAATATAACACTGGCAAGATAACGCACTGATCCATTTTAAAAACACAATATAAATAACTCAGCTGCTTGGGATTACAGATTTTTGTATCAGTACGACAAGTATCCTAAGATGTGGTATGCAGAAGTATATGTGTTCTCACATGCTGCCATCATACCTAGTCACAGACACACAACCATGTATCATAGGACCTATATTGCTTCCAATAGTAAATGGGCATTCTCCCCTGACTCAGAGGGAGTTAAAATATGAACTTTTCAGAGAAAGGAGTCAAGCTGTAGCTCAAAAGCTGCTGTAAGGGTTTCTGACTGACCATTCAGTGACTAGATCAGCTACGACCCGGATGAACTAATCCAGATTAGTTTTTATTTGATAATTGTGCAACTCATCATTTGTCAGTTTGCAAAACCAAGCAGCGACACAGAACAGAAGAAACAAACCACTTTGGTTTTTGAGCACTGGAACAAGGGGTTCATGCTTGATATTTAACTTGCTTCTAGTCCGAGGTGGACAAGTTGGACAGGACACTTTCCTTCATAAACCAGCTAAAGATGCTGTCATTTAATCTCCACATTCTGTAGCCTGATACGAGTCTGCACCAAGTCTCAGCATCTTCACCAGGGCACATGTGGAACACTTCTCTCTGGAGAAGTGCCGCATCAAAAGCCAGACACCATGCACTCCTGCATGCCATACCTAAACAGGAGTCATTCCTTCTCCCCAGCACAGCATCACATCTGCTGGCTTTTTGGTCCCATTTACCCCCAAATGTAGTCCTTCCGTTTTCATAAAATTTTGCATCCAGGAGACTCAGATCAAATAAACCTAAATGTAAAGTAAACCGAGTTTTTTATTTATTTTTTCTGTTATGTCTTTCTTCTAATAGCTCATGTCCATTCATCTGATTTAGCCTGTGCAAACCGCAGAGCAGCCTTCTGTGCTATATTTGGATGGCCACTAGTTAGCACCAAGGTCCATTCTCTGTCAGCTTTCCAGCACAGATCTAGTGGGATTTGGCTGGATATCAAGCAAACCTTATGAAAACCCCAACAGCGACATTAACATGAACTTCTTTTGCTCACAAGTGGTATCTGTAATGACCGCCAGTATTCCTGAACCGGTTAAATTATCATGCTAAATATACACAACAGCAGTTTCACAGCCAAAAATAGAAATAAGGAACTTACTTCAATGCTGAAGTACCCTCTGTCCACGTAGTCCCCCAGGAAGAGATACCGTGTGTTGGCAGGAGAACCTCCCACTTCAAACAGTTTCATCAAGTCAAAGAACTGACCATGGATGTCTCCACAAACTAGAAGACAGAAAAAAAAGAAAAAAGAACAATAATCAATATTCAGATTCACCACGGCAAGATCATCTTAGGCACATGCATTCTGAAGTCACTCTTTTTCATAAGAAATGTGTTATGACAATTTTGTGCATCATCCTCTAGTTAAACGACCAGTGAGAGCTGGCAACTGCTCAGCAGAAGCTGTTTTTTTATAATGTGCATCCATCTACATGTGCAAAAGGCTACTAACTAATTAAAGGAGAGCCATCAGGCAAATTTGACCTGTAATTATTTTCATAGGTATGTAAGTATTTTCATATGCCACTAGTTGGACCGATAAATTTCAGACTTCTGGTTTCTGTGCAGAAAAATGGCCTGCTTGCTTTCCCAAAGCATGTCTTACACAAGAGAACACTGACTGTTCATGCTTTAACCTCTAACCTCTTTATTTAACCTCGTGTAATTATGATTTGTTTCACTTCATTGCAATGAAGCCAATCTAACAGGCGGCTGCTCTGGAAAGAGCGGCTCCCACTAAACACGACAGACAGAGCACAAGCGATGTGTGGCCAGGGCTAAGCAGGGACGTCCCTTTTTGTGCCTTGGAGCTAAGAGATTGGCTCAGCTACCTTGGGAAATTGCAGGCTCCATGGTGGGTGATTTTAAAGCATCTGCAGGAAGGTAAGCAATGCTCTTTGAGGCCCCCCATGGAAGCTTAACTAACAGTGCTGTGCCAAAACCTGCTTCCTTTTGCTTTGCTTTGTTTCCTCTACCCAAGGGAGGGGGAGAACCCCGCAGTTTGGGGACAAGCCTGGACCTTTTCTAGCAACAACCTTTAACAAAGAAAATGTTGGCTGTTACTGAGGTTACTTCAGACTAGTTCTCCCTTCAATGATTAAAAAAAAAAAAAAACAAAACAACGATATGCAAACTGGAAGGGGATTATGAAGAAACCAAATAAACCAAAAGTCCAAGATAGACTGCTGTTATCTTGCAACAGCAGCACAGCTTCTTATTTACTGCTAACAGTAAATTCAGAAGACTTCAGATGCTCTCTCTGATGTAATGGATCAAGCTTCTGTATTCAAGCAGTGCTCTTGTTTGAGTTTTTATCTGGAAGTTGATACAGAGGTCTTGCTCTATCACAGATAAACAAACCCCACATTTATCGCATGCCACGGGGAAGCCGAAGTCACATCTCCATGTAGATATAAAGGACTACACAGAACAGCTGCAACACCAAATCCAACAAAGTCGCAACGCAAATAGTGTTCATACATTACTGTCTTTCATCTCAGTCCACTGTCACATCCTATTTTTTACTTGCATCACTTTTTCTCTGAACGTACACACTAGCAATAGGATCAATATAATATTGGCATCCCATTCAAAAACTAAAAACAAACAAAAAAAATCCCCACCCAACCCAAAACCAGTCAAACAACCCCCCTCAGGTACAGAAAAAAACCACTTATGTCCCAGTCACTGCTTTCATGAATATTTATGTGAAACTGGTGACACAATTCACAAATTCTGTTTAGCTGAGCATTCCTCTGCGATAGTAACAGAATATTTTCCCCATAAAATAGGATATAGTACTTTTATCACCACTGTTACATTGTATAATCTCTTTTTCCTAAGTTGATTATCCCCCCTTCCCCAAGAGTATTAGATGACAACCTTCATGTTGAAAGCCATCAGCAGTTATAATTTCTATCTAAAAATAATATCTGCCATTAATTATGCAAAATAAATACTATTTAAATCCTCAAGTGGTATAACACCACCCCTCTTCCTCAAAAAAAACCCCAACAAACAGTACCCCAAAGGAAATTTTTTGATAGCATTTTTATTTGAACACATTAATCTAGCAAACCAATGCACACTGCTTGACTGTACTCCTCTGCATGGACACTGTGGGAAGATTAAGAACATGTGTCGCATATTGATGGCCAAGCAATCTGCTCTCCTAACTTCCAGCAGAAAAGCTTTTAGTTATATAACTGTACAGCTCTACCAATTATCACCCGCCCCCATTTGCTCCAACTGCAAAAACCTGAAGTTGAATAAAACTGAAATATTTTAAATGTATTTAACTTCTGCTCTTTCACTAAAGCACAAAGAATCAGGATTAGTTTTTAGAAGTTTTTTTTTTTTTCTATGTGTGAACAGGTTAATACATTGAGGCCATTACAGAGAAACCACAAAGGTTAGAAAGCTTTCTCCAAGTAGCTGTAGGCCCACAAATTTGTTGGAAAGTCAGAAAAGAAGAGAGCAAACCAGTGAAGAGGACAGAAACAAGTGCAGAGCCCTGCAATCTCATGATTTGCAAAATTCTGAACTGGACTTGAGACTGATACCAAAGGAAAGCCCAGGCACTCTGCACGCAGCAGCCTACTCTCTTTATACTTGACAACAGATGCAGAAACATATCCAGGAAAAAAAAAAAAAAAAAAAAAAAGAAAAAGATGGAAGGCTAAAACGCCCTCAGACCCAACCTTGCCAAGTAACTAAAGCAGTTGCAAAAGAGAAGCTTAAAATCAGCAGGTAACTGCAGTTGCAGGAAGAGAAGACACTCAAAATTAAGAAACAACATTGGATTTAATTTATTACGGTCAAATCCCAGAATTCCTACTGAAAGATCACAGTGTTACGTATGGTTAATCTAATTAGCGTTTTCAGTGGAATAGCATGGAATGGAATGGAATCATAGAATACCAGGTTGGAAGGAACCTCAAAGATCATCTGGACCAACCTTGGCAAAAGCACTGTCTAGACAAGATGGCCCAGCACCATAGCTTAAGGTTCTTACACTTACCAGGCTTGTGTGTATAGACCTGAAACATCCTTACAATGGAAAGCTTGTGAATTTACGTCCTGATGGATGGCCTTGTTTACAAATAAAAGGGCAATTTCGTATGCATACAGTACTATGCTCCATTTGTGGTTTGAAAGCGACTGCTTCTAACGCTACAGTTCTCCCACCTTTCTTTTCCAACTCCCATGAATCTCAAAACTGGAAGATTTCCCAGGCAGCTGGATCAATGCTTTATCTTTCACTAGATGGGGGCAAAAGAGAACCTGCAGTAGATTTCCATTCATGAATGTGGAAACATGCATCAGCCAACTCCTCTGCCATACCCTTCATGCCTTGTCTTGCAGCTCACCATCACTACCAAAGAGCCTTCCAGCACTGTCCCACCAAGAGCCCACAGCAGAGGTTCCACATCCAGTTCACGCTACCCCTACCAAGCTCTTTAAGTTCACTACCTTCCCCCTCTATGTTCCAGAAAAAGTTTTGAAAGCACGCTAATTATTATACGCTTTTATTTACTCTTGTACAAGCATTACCATTGGATGTCTCCTTCCTTTTAATCATGCCCAAAATTTCCTATTTTATACCTGTGCAGGCCCTCTTTTGATATTGGAGCTCTTGCTATCAAACACCACATTCAACGAGGCATGAACATTTTTCCACCAAGTAACAACAAAATAAAAAATAGTACAGTGAAGCAGGAAATTAAATTCTTAATTAAGATCTCCAGGGTCAACATACTTACGGATTTAAAGTATGAACACAGGGAACATAAAACACACTTTGTGTGTGTGTGTGGATTAACATTAGAAGCAATTGTGTTCATACAAAACAAATTTATCAAAATAAGGAATTTCTATTAGAATTCTATTTCTGGTGGTGGTATTTCTATTAGAAATTCACGTATTTTCCTATATCAGCGGTTTCCCAAAAGTGCAGTGAAGTCATTACATTCTTACACTCATCAATTTATGATACCTAAATAATCTGACGGCATATTTTTCCCCCTAAAAAGATCGCTTAATTTATCCATTACTTTTCAACTTTCTTTGTATCCTTAAACTGCCAGCTTGGCAACAACAAAACGGTGCTTCCATTGACTTACTCCTTCCAGGGATCAGTTCAGGCACCAAACCTGTTGCCCATTAATTTGTCTATTTGAACCTTTTGATAACATCTACCCACCTAACCTCTCTCTGCAGCAAGCTCCAGAACTGCAGGACAAGCTATGTAAAGAAATCTTTTAAGCTGTTTTAAACTGATCTCCTACTGAATTCATTGGTGCAATCAGAAGGTTTAAGAAACACTGGTTGCCTGTCAGCTCCTTAGAAATTTATCTCTGTTGAGGATGTTTTCAGGGGACACGAGTCCCTTCAAAAGATTCAAGTTCACAGGACTGCCCATGCATATACTCAGAAATCACATTTCTGAGAAGCCTCTTGTTATGATGGGTCCTTGGATCCACTACACTGTCTTACACTACAGCACCAGAACTTTCCCAATGTAACTATCCAAAAAATACCATTTTATTATAAAAATAGAAGTTGGACATAGGGGAGAGAATGGAGAAAGGTTTTTTCATTTGTTTGTTTGCTTTTAGAAACTGTCACCCTAATACAAATTAAATTATGTTTCTGTTGGCTTCACTGAGCAGATCTCCCTCTGATTTATGTCAAAGAAACAAGCAACATTGAACAGGAACCATAAAATTCAAGTTGTACTAGCAGTGAAGGAAGTCCAAAGCTTTGCAGTGGTATTGCCAGCTTATTTATAGACGACAAAGTGGTAGAGCAGTGATTTAGACTGCAGTGATTATTGGCACAAATAAAAAGTCTGAAAATGCTCTTCAGATACCTTCCTCCAGATAACTAAAATGCTCTTCACTACGTACAAACTCAATCCAGAGATTATTCTGTGTGGTTTCCCACTCCAGATGGATATTAAGAACAAAATTTATATTCATAGTACATTAAACACTGTCAATTAAAAGATTTTCTATCTCTAACAGTTTGGATATGCTGCACTTATTTTCTCATTTATCATGTATACACTTAATTGGTGTAACATTATAGCCTGATAGTAAAATACCATTACTGTTTCAAGTGAATTCACATTCCATGTATCACAAGATTATAGTCCCACCTTCAAATGTCATCAGGGATTAGGAGCGGATACGTAACACTCCATCAGCAGCTTCAGAAGCAAC